GAATGCAGTGAGTTTAATTCATGATGAGGTCAAAAATAGTGTGGCGCAGTTCAACTCTATAATCGCAAAATACATTGGGGTAAGCGAATAAATTATTGCAAGAAGAGGTCATACCATGGAAGATATGCTGCAGCCGTAGTGAGCCACAATACCCAGCGGCCTGTATATTATGGTCTAAGTACATTTGCGTTCTAAGCTTAGTCCAACCTCGCTTATCGCTAAGATGGAACAAGGACTCAAACGCAAGAATCTTGAAAAGAAACTCAGACCAAAAAGAGCTGATATAAAAATAACTGACAATTCGGATAGCCATTCCAAAGAAAATAAATAGGTAGTTTTATGGTGAATCTAATCAAAAACCTGACATTAACAACATTGATTTGGAGGTTGCTAAGCGAAAATTTTTAGGGAAACTTAAAAAAAGTGACGACGAGATTTTGCAGATCGAACAAGTCACCAAATCACAGGGCTGTACCTTGTCGCACCTTCATCGGAGGATAAGGTTGACAGCGTCTCGATTTGATGAAGTTTGTAGAAGAAGGCAGACAACAAGCTGTAAAGTAATAGTAAACTCCATCATATACCCAACAGAGTTTTCTAGTAACGCAATAAAAAAGGCAATACAAAAATCATTGGGCACCGCAGTTCAGTCTTGTGGTTTGCTTATTGATCGCACACATCCATTTCTGGCAACATCACCTCCATCTACCTATTACAGTAGACAAGAAATGTACTTAATCCAGGTATAAGCCTACCTGTTTATTGCTTTGCAAAAACTACCTAACAGTCTCCTCTTATTTTGACGGCATAAGATATTTTTATGACTCTCATTCAATTGTTACCATGTACCACATGACCCTTGTAAACATAATTGTGTTTACTGACATGAATAAACGAATTGTAATTTGAGTTCTTGAACTTATTGTAGGAAAGATATCAAATTATTTGAATACATTTTTTCTTAGTCGGAACGTACCGTCGCGTCGCTTGGACTGGCAGGACGAAACAGTAGACGAATTTCGCCCAAAAACCGATTTGCACTTCACAGCTTACGTTTCATTTTTTATTATTTCCAAATGAAACTCTTGCTGCGTGCTAAAAACAAAGTCCACAGGGTGTTAACGATCCACTTTTTCGATTTTATTCACTAGGATCTTTTTAAACTATCAAGAAGTTGAGCACAAATATTACCTAAGCATTTCAACCCACCATAATTCTTGCGCAAATGCAAAATTTTGTAAAACGCTCCGATAGCACCTTAGGCAATTATGTCCTGCTTATATCCAGAAAAACATTACAAATTGCAGAATACAAAATGAACGTAACAGCGAATTGGTTACATTTCACGGGTCATGAAATTCAAATGAAAATGCAGGTATAAAATCTACCAAATTATCGTTCTCAAAAACATATTTCGTTCACATATCGATAATTTTAAAGTTCCACGCTAAATTCCCCTATACTTGACTGGAGTGATATTCGAATTCATTCTTCCCTACTGTCGGTAGTTGCAGATAGATCTGTTGGCTCTTGGTGTCAAACCTATAGGGCAGGTACCGATTTTTTCAAATCGTGAGCACATTTTTCGTCGGATTTTCGTTACCTAAATTAATTTAAAATTAATTTAAAATAGAACGTGTTTCACTGATATCAAAGATGCAACATTTAGAATCACCTTCCCCCAACCCCACTTTTTAAGCTGTACAATTTTTTTCTGTCAATGTTAAGGAACTCCTGTAACATCAAAAACGGAGTTTCAGCAATTGTTACTTTTCCTTTTTTGCCTATAGCACCGTTGCCACTGGACTAAAACTACAAAGCTTTGGCATACTATAGTAGTAACCCCGTGTGGAAATTTCATAAAAATCCGAGCGGTTATTTCCAAGTTGATGAGTGATACAGTTTTTCGTGATGTAGATGTCATATGACTTGAAAAAACATAACATCTCATTTTAGAAATTTTTCGCGATTACAACACTTCCTCGCCAATGGCGTGGGAAGTAAAACTTTCTGGCTTTAAAATCCAGGAGTATCAGCGATCGCGATTATGAGTACCTATTTGCAGAACGACTTATCTACGCGATATTATATGAAATAGGGCCACCAAATTATCTGAATACGTCGTTTCTTAGTCCGTACATTGCGCCGCAATGCTTGGGTTGGCAGCACGAAACAGTAGACAAAATTCCTCCAAAATACGATTTGTAGAGGTTTGCGCGCTTCGAAATTTACGCTTTATTTTTTGATATTTTTGGATGAAATTTTCACAGAGTGCTGAAAATAAAACCCCACAGGCTGCTATAGAGCCACTTTTTAATTTTTTTCACTAGGTTCTTTTTAAAAAAATCGCGAAGTTGAACAGAAAAAGTGCGCACTTCAACCCATCATGAAACTTGTGCAAAAACAAGATTTCAAAAACTGCTCCTATAGCACCCTGGGAAATTATCTTCTCAACATACTGTATGAATTTCATTCAAAAATATTGAAAAATGGTGTGTCAGTTTTGAAGCAGCTGAACCCTTGTAAATGGCTTGAAACTCACTGAGTCTTAAGGGACAGCGGTATGCCGACGTAGTGGCCATTCAAAAATTCGAAAATCTTTTGGTCCAAGCAAATTATAAATAAATATTAACTCTAACGGAGACTATTTTGAATAAACTAAATACGATTTTCCGAAACAAAAATGTTAGTTAATTTTTTTCATTTGTCCTGTTTACTTTGCGACAAACCTTGTATATATTAATCAACAAACGCCTGCCGAGCTAAGCAATTTTGTATAAAAGTTGTGATATTGTTGCAAACGTATAGTTAACAGTTACTAAACCGCAGTTGTATGAATGATTCTGTTGGGAGCAACTTTTTGACTAAAGTAGTAAGTTTTCATACCAGAACAACAAGGATCGGGTTTATTGTATAAATGTTACCATGGATGCCACAACACCCCTATTCAACAGCAGTTCAAAATTTATCCTATAAGTTGTTGCACAAGTATGCTACAAGAATATTTTAAACATCTTATTAAAAGATGCTCTAAAGAGCAAATATGCTGCAGGAAACTTTGCATTTCACACAACATTTGACCAGTATTTTGTTGTTCAGGCAACATAAATAGAGAGCTTTCACGGCTCAAGAGTTCGTTTACCAAAAAATCATAGCACCACTTTCCTAGTTGATATATTGCTGAAATTATGAATGTTTCTTGACAAAGCTAATATTGGCCTATGTATTGCTAGTTATGATGAGAGTGCATACGAAACTAGGTATGCATTCATCAAATTTTCAACAGCAATAGCAAAATCTGTGAACCTTAACCTTTCGATACTAATGGGTTATAAAGATCTCAGCAAAAATTCCTTCATCTAATTACGTATTATTAATAACAGTAAATGCATTCGAATTACTGGAGGGACATATACGTTATGTCCCATACCGATGTTTTTAAATATACTAAGTGACATATAAATCCGAACACCCAGTTTAAATGGTTTTATTTTAATAAAATTTTGTATAAGTACTTAATGAAGCATAATAAGTAAATGATAAAAATTTCAAAATGATTGCACTGCTCTAAAGCCCTTTGACCTTTAATAATGTGTGGATGCACCCTGATGTGCTACGCATTCTCCAACGCGCCTAGGCATGCTTCTGATCAGGTGGTCAATGTCCTCCTGTGGTATCTCATTCCAGGCAACCACCAACTCCTCTCGAAGTGCTTCTAGAGTCTGAGGAGGACGTTGCAAATTGAGCAATCTCCTACCCATCATATCCCACACGTGCTCAATTGGGGATAAGTCGGGAGATCTTGGTGGCCATGGTAACAATGTGACATCATTATGTTGAAAGAAGTCTATTGTGACTCTTGCAACATGTGGTCGGGCATTATCTTGTTGGAAAGTTGGATCTGCCAGGGTGTCAAGATAGGGTAAAAGATGGGGTTCTAGAACTTCGTGGATATAACGCTGCGCGTTCATGTTACCTCTGATGAAGATTAAAGGTGACCTGGAACCATAAGCTATAGCACCCCAAACCATAACTCCAACAGTGTGATGAACATGTCTTTCAACCAAAAACTGTGGATTCCTCCTTTCACCACGTCGCCTTCTAACCCTGGCACGGCCATCGTGCATGCCTAAACAAAATCGAGACTCGTCACTAAAGACAATACTGTTCCATTCCTGATCCCAGAGTGACCGTTGTCTGCACCACTCAAGGCGATTACGTCGGTGTTCTCGAGTTAAAGGGAGGACCCAGTGTGGCCGGTATGAAAACAAGCCAAAACTTCTCATTCGTCGGTAAACACTTCGCATGCCAATAGGTCTTGCGTGTTCTGCAAACCATTCATTTGAAATGGACCTGGTAGTGGAGAAACGGTCCCTTAAGGCCAATAATCTTAGGCGGCGATCTTCACGGTCTGTTGTTCTACGGCGGCGTCCAGTGCCCCTTGCTCTTTGCGTACTGCCTTTTCGAAGCCATGCCTGACAACACCTAACCACCGTGTCTACACTTTTTTGCACTCTAACTGCAATTGCCCGAAAAGAAAGTCCAGCTTCCCGAAGTCCCACTATACCGCCCCTATCAAACTCACTAAGTTGACGAAATCGTACAGGTCTCCGTACTCTAGGCATCGTAACCGATAGTAAAGGATATCAAGAACCAAAATTCGCCAACGTTGATTCTTTACTGCGGCTGAAATATTCATTTTTAGACCGTTAGTGAAAACCGGAATGTCCAACTGATAAGGCTGAAAATTTTTTCACTTGTTATTTACAGTAAGATAAATACATTCACTAACTTTTATTAAAATAAAACCATTTAAACTGGGTGTTCGGATTTATATGTCACTTAGTATACTATTGGGTGCTATGTCAATTTAAAACGTATTATGCATTGTTCCAGTCGTAAGGTGGGTGTATTAACAAGAAATTATATGTTTAGGCTAGGTTGTAGCATTATTCTGCAATTTGGAAACAAATGCACTTGTGACTCCTCTTTGCTTGTAAGTTTTTGGCTTCAAATTCGTGCAAATGTGACAAGATGGACAGGTAAGTAGTCATGTACCTATATTTAGGAGTATGCATAATTTTTTATAATTAACTAAAGAAATACATCGAATTTTTATGGGTGGGACTTATATGTCGCAACAGTAATGTATAGTCAGTAGTTAGTATAGTGTGTTAGTATAGTTAGTATAATAATCAAATTATACCCATTTGTAAGGACATCACAATGCAGTCACCAGCAAATCCCATATGAATACGCTTGGAATATTTATGATAGTACAAATTGATATAATTTTGGCTATAAACGTTACTATTTTTGCATAGGTCTCATTTTTTTTATTTTCTAGAAAAGTAGCGTTAACTGCTGAAGAACTTGAAGAAATTGCGCGGAAAATAAGTGAGTGTGGGTTGACTGACGATTCGGATGTTGAAGAACCTTTTCAAGATTCCGGATCCGAGTATAAGTCACAATCGGATATTTCATCTGAAAGGGACCTGGAGCTTCCTGCCCGTCGTACTACACATAAACGCAAAAGGAACAACCAACAGAAAGCTAAAAACGATTTGCCTGATGATGAAATTCTTAGCGTAGAGCCTAATTTAGCGTCAGATCTTGAGAAGATTGAGAAGATTGAGAAGAATATTCACTGGAGCACTAGTGGATCTTCATTTATTCCTTCAAAGAGTGTACCTACCGCGCATGTTACACGTATTTTACATGCAGATATTACTCATAAATAATCTGAACTTGTGTTTTTTTGAAATTAGTTCACATATGTTTGTTTATTTTTATGGCTGAATGTACTAACTAAGGATAAGCATCTTACAAGAGAAGACAAAAAAGCAATATCTTCCCACCGATTATCACGAAATGGTGTTGGTAATTGGTTGTCATTTTGTCATGGCGTACAACAAAGTACCATCTTTGTTATTTATCATCTAACAAATCACTTGGAAATTAGGCTATTAAAAATGCCATCTCTAGAGACAGATGTTTTCTTCTTACATCAAAAGTGTATTACAACCATTCTAAAAAAACAGAAAATTCAGACAAACTCTATTACATTTGTGAAGTTATGTCGTGTCTCAAAGATACATTTCCAAAAGCTCGAACTGACAGTAGTTTTCAATGTATAGATTAGTCAATGGTGAAATTTAAAGGTCGTACCTCGCTGAAACTATATCTTCCTTTAAAACAATAAAAAGAGGTATTAAGATTTGGGAGAGATGCGATTCTGACACTGGATATGTACATGATATGAACATATATGCTGGGAAAGACGAGGAGCAAAAAGAAGGAACATTTGGGAAAAGAGTGGTAAACAAGTTATACAGCTCTATAAATGATCCAAACGTGATAGTGTGTTTTGATCGTTTTTTTACCACTGTGAATTTAATTGCTAATTTAGATTTTGCCGCTGTTGGGACTTGTATGTCAAATAAAAAAAAACCTGCCACAGTTTGAAAAGGAAAAAATGGGAAAAGGAGATTGCCGAACCTTATTTAGTGATTAGAGTGTTATCGCACATCTATGGAAAGATTCTAAAGAGGTTTTGATTCTTTCAAACTGTCACAAAGACGATATGGGATCTGTAGAAAGACGCCAAAAAGACGGAACCAAAATTAACGCGCCCTGCCCGGAAGCTATAAAAGCATATACAGTGAAAGCTCTCCTTGCGGACAGCTCCTATAAGCGGACATCTCTTTTAACCGGACAAAGTTCCTGGAACCGAATTTCAGCCATCAATTTTCAATGTTAAATGCATTCCGATAAACGGACGCGGACACTAGATTTTCCTGTATGTGATCAAAAAATCTCCCATAAGCGGACGCGAAACTCTAATACCCGGACGATTTTTTAGTTCCGCTTATTGCAATGCACATATCTACATACATAAAATTCGGTAATTCCCCGATTTATATTAGGTGATTCCCCATTTACGCATTTCTTTGGGTAGCCTGTATGTAATCTTGTGGCTTGTCTTCAGTTCAGGCAAATTCGTAGTTGATTGAGTTACGTATTTTATTATTGTAACTGTAAAATGGCACCAAAAAAAAGGATGCTCTCGTTAAAGGAAAAGATGGAAGTTGTTAACGTATTAGAAAGAGAAAGTGTTTCAGTTCGTCATTTGGCAAAGAGGTTTAATATTGGGAAAACGCAAGCAGCTGAAATTGCCAAAAATAAGGAAGATATCAGGAGTAAATGGCAATCAGGAACTAATATAAATCAAAAGAAGGATTTTTTAAAAAAGGAAGGTTTTGCTATAGACAAAACATGTTTTGAGTGGTTTGTGAAAGCTAGAAGTCAGAACATTCCAATCTCAGGGCCGTTAGTGAAAATGAAAGCTAAAGAAATCGCCACTACTTTGGGCTATAATAATTTCAGTGCGTCCGACGGGTGGCTGCAAAAGTGGCGCAAGAGACATAGTGTGAGTTTCAAATGCATATCTGGCGAAGCTGCTGCAGTAGATCAAGTTGATGTGTCACAATTTTTGGAGAAACTTCCGTCCATGTTGCTTGGCTACAAACCAGAAGATGTGTACAACGCAGATGAGAGTGGACTTTTTTTTCGCGCATTGCCCGACAAAACTCTGTCCTTTAAAGGAGAAACATGTGTGGGTGGAAAGTTGTCTAAAGATAGACTAACCATTTTATTCTGTGCAAATATGGCCGGTGAAAAATGCGATTTGATTGTGATCGGGAAAGCGGCTCGTCCCCGTGCTTTAAAAAACGTTGCTATTAAGGATCTACCAGCGACTTGGAAATGCAACAAAAAGGCATGGATGACCCGAGAAATCATGTCTGAGTGGTTAGTCGAATTCGACCGGAAAATGAGAATCCAAAAAAGGCAAGTTCTTTTATTTTTAGACAATGCATGCTCTCATCCTCGTGATATGAAAATGAAAAATGTGAAAATTATATTTTTACCGCCAAACACAACTTCTGTTTGTCAGCCCATGGATCAAGGTGTCATACAGAACTTTAAATTTTATTATCGGCACTTGATTTTAAAACATTTTAACAAAAATTGACGATGGTCAAAGCTTATCTGAGCTTACAAAGTCTATCAATGTGTTAGAAGCTTTGTATTTTATAAAAACAGCATGGAATAAAGTAAATTCCTCTACAATTAAAAACTGTTTTGGCAAAGCTGGATTCAGAAAAAGTGAATGTAGCTCAGAATTTGCTGAGCAAAATTATTGCGATGCTGAAGACGATCTGCCCTTAGCGACACTTGCTCAGTTACTGCGACATGCCAAACATTTAGGAGTAGCAGATCCCCAGAAAGTAGATGATTTCCTGGCCATAGACAATAACATAACAACAGAAGAAAATGTCATTGGCAACTTTTCGAATTTGGATGTAGAAAGCCCAGGCCAACTTGAATATGGTAGTCCAAACGACTCAGAAGAAGAAGTGGAACTGGTGGACTCACTAAGCGGTTCAAAAACGATAAATTCATATGGGGAAGCTCTAAATCATATTTCTATATTGAAAAAATTTGCTAAAGATGATTTCACTGCATTTCAACATTTGAAAAATTTAGAAAGTTATTACGAAAATTGTCTCCTTCAGCAAAAAAAGGTGAAATTTCGTCAGACAAACATTTTAAACTTTTTTCAACAAGCTAAAGAATAATGTTTTTTTTAAATTCTCGTACCATGTATTGAAGCATTTATGTTTTTGTATGCGTATATGTACATATATTATATAGATATATAGAATAAATACATACTTTAAAAATGTGGCGAGTTTCTGTTTCATTTTTCTCATGATTATAATACCTCATTTCCTCATGATTATATACCCCGTTATTTATACTCTATACTTACATACTCTCTTTTAAACGGACACCTCCCATAAGCGGACAAAAGTTACGGAACCGTGAGTGTCCGCTTATGGGAGGTTTCACTGTAATAGATTTATGGGTGGCGTTGATCTTTCAGATCAAATGTCTAGCTTATACGAAATTGATCGGCAGTCTCAAAAATGGTGGAGAAAAACATTTTACAAGCTACTGTTAACATCAGCCTCACACGCATGGATACTATTCAAAAAAGCTCATAAGCGTGATGTTCCGTTTATTACATTTCTAGTAAACCTAGCAGAAGATTTGATAAACACAGGACGACAAAAAGCAGGGTTTCTAGGAAAATCTTGTCGTAAATGTCATTCATGTACTTCTCGAAAAGTGGAAAAAAGAACAAAAACCACGTGTTCAGGATGTAAGCTTTCCTTGTGCAATGACTGTTTCCAGTCCTTTCACACTTAACTGTTAGAAGTTTATTATTTTCGTTCAAGTTACATTTTTAACTATAAGTATTTTTGTTACTAGTGGGGCATTTGTATCCACTTTAACCGTACTGTTGGGACAAATGTGTCCCATTTTGTATTTTTTTGTTTATTACTTAATAAAGAAAAAATTGGTTTTCTATTATTTAATCCATCGACACTTGTTATGTAGATAAGGTATTTTGCACGTACACTAAAAAAAAAAAGTCGTATTTTGAATGTCGATTTTTGCTGGGACCTATTCGCCCTAACCGTAAAATTACGTTCTTCTTTTTCAAAATAAAGTCGTATTGAAAGGGTTAAGCCGATCCTAACTAAAATGACAAATAAATGTTTTAGAGCAGGTATCAACTTAGCACAATGGTAACACAAAAAATATATTATTTTTGAAACATTGACGACGTTATTTAAATCGTTGGACAAAAAGTTACAGTTACATTTATCATTATCATCCATGAAGTCTTACCCATAACGACAGCTTCAAGGTAACATATTGTATGAGTTTGATTTACACAGATCGTTTGAAACATATACCGCTGAATGTATAATTTTATGTTATTCCACCTTGAATTTCCAATCCCTTACAACGTAGGACTTTAAAATCTGGAGGGAATCAACTAAGCACAAATCAATTCGACCATCGATGTTCCATACCGTAAAGAGCGCATGCCTTTTCCCTATGCTCATATCACATTGTCCGGCGTTCCTCCAGTCTCCAGTTCGGCCGGACTCACTTAATTGGATTATAAATTACGTCGTACGACTTTTTCTTTTTCTTGTTGTGGCCAGCTCGGAAGAGAGAGAAAGACAGAGCCCAAGCGATTTATGGCGGCCGTATTTATTTATTGGATTAATACATGTAACATATTGCCAACACACGAAAGATATAAATAACCCAAGAATGTATGGTATTAATTTACTGGTGCTCCTCAGTGTGCTGGCTCTTCTTTATATTGCCTTATATATATCGTGGTCGTCGATGACGTACTGCTAGCTAGGGAGGCTGTAACAACCAGGTAACCAACCGCCATCGCTGTGTTCCCCGTGATGGATGTGAGAAATTCGCCAAGTTGAGTAGGCGAGATTGCAAGCATTGTGTGGAGGTGCTACCGATGCGCGATGTAATGTTTTCTGAACATTAAGGCCAGTATCGTCCGATTGCAATGAAATTATCTTAAAACTACCTATTAGGGCATAACCCAGTCTGACTTTGAGGTAACTACAATTTTCAACATAATGGGTCCTTTCCTCTTATTTTCGCATTCGTAATTAATTATGGAATTGTCACAAGGTTTTTCTGATTTTGCTTCATGCTGCAACCCTATTTTTCTGTTTACTCTCTGTAACACTTCATTTTTGGTAATCCTACATGACCATGGTATTCTGAGCACCCTGAAATAGCGATGATCAATAATAGTAATTATGATCTTCACATACACACATTATAT